GTGTACTACGTGGTGGTTGTCCGGTCGGATTTACACCTCTTGTGTGTAAGCAAGATCAGTCGTGGATCCAATCAACTAAGGCAAAATTACTGTAGGGCAAAATTAATATTGTCTTAGTTGGCTGGATCACACACACACACACAAGAGGTGTAAATCCGATCGGGTAACTTCCATGTAGTACATTTCGAATAATGCTAATATCGGTACTCTAACAACTAACATTTAACCTTCTTAACTCAAAAAGTACTTAATGAAAATAAATAAAATTTTGGAGTTCTATTTAAACATATTGATGTGACCTTGACCTTGGTGACGCCATCCAAAGTCAAACTGATAAGATCAGTAAATAGATCTTTTTAACCCTACAATTTTTGTCTAAAACACTTTTCTAAAACTTATATTTTCCGAGATATTCTGGGATTCCGATACTTTTTATACACCCTGTATATATAGAGAGTGCAGCATTTAAATTGAAACAATTAAATATCTTGAAAACAAAATATTTTATGAAAAAATGTTTCAGACAAAAGTTAATTTCAAGAGATGAAGATACCGGTAGCCAGAGAAAAACATATATCTCTTTTTCTCTTAGAATCTTAGGAATAGACGCGCATTCTACGAGGTAAGCAGTCACTCAAGAATCAGAGAATTATTATTAATAATAATAAGGAAAATGGCCTGTCTATAACGGGAAAGTAGAAATTTATAATGCTCAAAATTACTGAAGTTCTACTAGTGAGTCACAACGGAAAGAGATAATTTATAATCATCTTAAAACGCGTCGAACTCTCTTATTAGGAAATGAGAGAGTAATAATATTGTTAACATGATATTTTCAGCTAGTTTATCTACAATAACCGTTTTGCACAACATAAAAAAGTTCTTAGCTGTTAAATGAAAAAAAGAAAATTAAAACAAGTTTATAAATTGCATACTTCGACTGTTGTTGATTTTTTTTTTACTGTAAACTGTGCACAATTTTTTGTGCAAAAACACAATCATATCAATCACTCTTTAATAAAGCGAAAAATATTAACACAAACGATTTCCGCCGATTTCTCATTAAATAGGTAGTTATATACATTTCGTAATATTGCACAATTGTTTTCGCGAATGCAAATATCTCTACATATCTCTACATACTCAGGCACAAAACTCTAAACAATACGCACATTATTCCGTTGGCATTAAGTGGCTCCTCGTCAGTGTTAGACTTCCATATTTTTAGCGATGATTACTGAAATGCGCAGCTGTCATACGAAATAATCAAGTCAGAATTAAGTAAGCTGCTACGTGACTAAACTGGCGTATCCTTCCTTGTTCAGAAATACATGCACACAGAATGCCGCAGAAGTAGATGAGATTTTATGATCCTTGGCAGCGGTTCTCAATGATTCTTGATTATTTGCGGGCATTTTTTCTCACAAAAAAAATATTTTGTAAGAAAAAATATTTCTCTGAAAGAATGATCTATTAACCTTTCGTTATCACACTGAGTCAAAACGATTGACCCATAATTTTATTTTGCAGTAAAATATTTTAGACATTATTGAAAATGATACTAGTGATGTTATCTAATATTAAATTCAAGTGTCCTCTACATAAATGGAGATACTTCCCGAGTGAGAGAAAGCGTTAGTGCGTGTTTGGCAGCCATCGAAAAGTCAAATTGACCTGAGTGTAACAAAAACGTTTTTGTGCTTCAACTTGAGAACATTTTCTGACTAATTTTGTGTAAAAAAATAGTCAGAAAGTAAAAACAAGCATTTTAATAAACGAAATTGTTTTTTATTTTATTTAAAGTGTTTAATAAAGACAAAATGGCTGCATCCAGAAGTACAATCGTTCACTCGAGCGGCTAAGTAGTAATTGCGATTAGTTTAAATTTATACTTTTAGATAAGATAGATAGTTTAAATTTACATACACTTTATAGAATTTATTTTTAATATAAGATACTTTTTATTGATATATAATTAATTGTATGCTTTTAAAAAGAATAAATATATTTTTTCTATATAAATGCATGATTTTCAACTCAAAAACTGCCTTATATATATTTCAGTATGCAAAATAAATACTTTTTTTTGAAACCTCCAATATAGAACTATTATTATTTTAATTAAAGTAACGATATATCTCGAGAATATCATTCTAAATTTTTAACTAAAAATATTAAAAATTTAAAAAGTTATGATTTTTTGAGCACACTTTTTCAAAATAATTTTTTTTTCCAGAAATGTTTTTAAACATGATGATATTACAAATGTTAACTATTTACAATAGAAATATATTATATTGTTATTTTCTTTCATTATGATATACGCCCTAGCTCTTTGAGCTTTGAAATTCCCGCACGCCGCCATGATCAAGCCGGCAAATTTCGCGCGCATTTTTCACCCGCAATTTATTGCCGCGAAAGAGGAGCCGGCAAAGCTTCCTGGCGCATCGCCATGCGAACTATTACGGTCGCGACGTGGCGACTCGGTGATAATAATATGATAATTGTTGTGTTATATAGTATGAGAATACGCGGGATTGGCTGATGCGAACTATCACATGGTCGCCGGCGCTGCGATCCAATAGCGCGGTGTTGGTCGCCACCTAAGCGGTCCCAGTCACTAAAGGGATGCGGCACAAGCCGGTTAGTCTTCTCGTTGCGCATCCTCCCTCGAGTAATTATTCGCATTCAGCGATTTGTTCGATACCCGGTATGAAGAATCCGCGTTTTGGCACGTTAATATCAAATAAGAACAAATTAATTTATAAGTTTCAATAGAGAAAAAAAATCAGTGAAAAAAATGTTTCGAGTTCTGGAGACATTGTCTCTCTGCAAAAAATCTCTGGATTATTGTTTCTATCAGATAAAATATGCGTGTGCGCACACACACAACACACACACACACACACAAAAGCATACCACGTCATATCCGTGATATTTATTAAAAATATAATCCGTATTTAAAATAATTATTTCTCTTTTCACTCAGTGAGCTATCTTATAGTTTTATATTTAGCAACGTACTATAAAGTGGATTGCGATCGACCGTAACTAATCATTGTTGAAATGTTTCTTAATTTATTTAATGCTTTCTCATATTACTTTAGAAAATATTTGATACTTAATTTAAATTTATATAACAAAAAAATAAAAATTTAATATAATAAATATATTTTAGTCATTACGCGTACAAAAATAAAAATAACCGTAAGCTAAAAAATAAAACTGTAATTTAGACATCAATAAACAATTGCGAGTAGCAAAATGATTTCCATAAAGAAACTTAAACGATAATCACAATCCGAAGACGTTTTTCGCGCAACAGTTTCGTGTTTATGTAAGAAGCGGCGCACGGAATCCGAAATTTATTTTGAGCCAGCAATATGTGTAAGATCGCGCGCGTATTATACATGAGAGGGCAATAGACCACGTGGTTCTTTTCGCCGGGTAACTCTAAACTTAGGAAGTCGATACGAACCGAATATAAAACAAATCCATTCAGTTTTGCAACACAATCCTGCAATTCTGTTCTCCTTATACTCTCTCTCTCTCTTTTCCTCATTCTTTTTATAGACGCGCGCGAATTTAATTTCTTCGCGAATAAAAAAACGCGACAATCAATATATATATATATAACATGTCGAAATTATATGTCTTTCACCTCTCACGTGTCTCTCGCGGTCTACTCGATTCGTTTTGCGCGTTCATCGAACTTCTGATGTATACATGTCCCCGCGGCGACCAGACTATTGATTATGCCATAAAGCACCAATCACAACATCTTACCGCAGTGTTTCCTAAGTGATGTTCCAATTTGAAATCTTACGCCGATATGTCTATCTAGTTTTATTCTTTGGATTTACTGATTGTTTGACTTTGCAACATATAATATAAAGGAAGTACGAGAGAGTATATAAATGTGTGTTAGAATTAAATTGCGAAACATTGTTATCTGAAACTTTCCTGTCTTAAAAAAGAAATTGAAGATGGTATCATTTATTTAAAAATGATCAGGTCATAATGTAATATATACTTTATCTTAAAATTGTCTTCTATTGTTTGCGTGCGTTGTATCCTGTAGTATAGAAAATAGAGACACATAAGCATTTAGAGGAAGAGTTTATGAAAATAAATATTGTTGACGTTACTTGCGTTGTTTGCAACCTTACACTATCTTCTAAAAAATATTGTTTTCCTATAAAAGTCCTTAGTTTTTCCTTTCACTAGAATCACTTAAAAGAGATTTATCATTTGATGTGATATTTTACGAAGTAAATATAGAGAAGAAGCTTTTAGAGAGAAAAATTATCTCTGAATTATCTCCTAAAATATCGGCGTGACAAAAATATATACTTTATCCATTGCTGCTGCATGTACAAAAAATGGGAAAGTTGTGCTAAACTACTTTTTTGACATAAAATAAAAATTTATGTATTATTTATATATTCTTTTATAAAAAGATTTATCAGCGTTATTGTTGTTTTTTTTTATTCTCTGATTGTTATGTTGACTTTTTAAATATAATACAGTGAGAAGTTTAGTGAGCCAAAAATCCAAACATCTTTAATATTTAAATAAAAAATGTATTTGAAAACTTAAAGAACAAAAATTTCAGCTAAGTTATTAGTTATTAGGTATTAATTATTAATTAATTTGTCAAAAAATTTAGAAGTTTATAGTATTTTATCAGATAGTATTTCTTGAAGAAGTAATGGTTACTTCTGCCAAATAAAATAAACAACGATAGTTTTATTGCACGTGATGTAAACAAATTGTTGTCTTGCTGGGAGAAAGAGAGAGATAGAAAGATTGATTCATCTTTTTGACACAAATTTATAAATCTATTTAAAACAAGTATACCAATTAATTAATCACTTAATAATTAATAATTAATGTCCAGCTATATATATATATATCTTTCTCTCAATTTTTTTATAATGTATAGATACAATATAAAGATCAAGAGATTATCGATCATGAGACATCTTTTTGTTTTCTAGCTATTGTGGGACATGATCCGCAGACGAGCAACGGCGGTCAGTCGCAGCTGCAACAGCAGCTACAATCAGGGGCTTGGCTGGGAAGTGGTGCCAGCGACACTGGCGGCGGACTGGTCTGTCGATCTTCATCTGGCAAATCAATCAACGGCAGCAGCAACGGTAACCCGTCGCTACTACATCCTCGACAACAACAACAGCAGCGTCAACAGCAACAACAACAAGGTCAATCTGGGGGTGTGGGGGATGACGAAGACGGGGGTGGAGGGAGCGGAGGGTTGGAGGGGACGGACGCAGAGGCGAACGACGCTATTCACCTCAAGAGACGGGTGGGACTCGTCAGTGGGGTGGCTCTAATCGTCGGCACGATGATCGGCTCCGGGATCTTCGTATCGCCGTCGGGTCTGCTACTGCGTACCGGCAGCGTTGGCGTCAGTTTCGTCGTGTGGACTGCGTGCGGTCTGCTCAGCCTGTGCGGCGCCCTCGCCTACGCTGAGTTGGGCACTATGAACACGAGCAGCGGAGCCGAATACGCGTACTTCATGGATGCGTTCGGCGCACCACCCGCCTTTCTTTTCTCCTGGGTATCTACCTTGGTGCTCAAGCCGTCGCAGATGGCGATCATCTGCCTATCGTTTGCCCAATATACTGTCGAGGCGTTCACCGTTGACTGCGAACCACCCGACCAGGTGGTTAAGATCGTCGCGTTATTGGCGATCGTTCTGATACTTTTGATCAACTGTTACAGCGTTAACTTGGCTACCGGTGTGCAGAACGCCTTTACCGCCGCCAAACTGATGGCAATCCTCGTGGTGATAATCGGCGGCTCGTACAAATTGACACAGGGTAACACACAACATCTGCAAACGGCGTTCGACACAATTGATGGAAACTCCATCAACATCGGCCGTCTCGCTACCGCCTTTTACACTGGTCTGTGGGCTTACGATGGCTGGAACAATCTCAATTACGTGACAGAAGAAATCAAAAATCCCTCAAAAAATTTGCCTAGATCCATCATGATCGGTATACCTCTCGTAACGATCTGTTATGCGCTTATTAACGTGTCTTATTTGGCGGTCATGTCGCCGTCAGAGATGATCGAGAGCGAGGCTGTGGCGGTGGTAAGTTCTACGACGAGATTTTTTTATACTTTGAAAATTATATAAATTTTTCCAACAAATTTTTAAAGATAGATTTTATTTTGTAGACGTTCGGCAATCGGATACTGGGCATAATGGCATGGTTAATGCCACTTTCCGTAGCAATTAGCACATTTGGATCCGCAAACGGCACCTTATTTGCCGCGGGAAGGCTCTGCTTTGCCGCGTCGCGAGAAGGCCATCTGCTTGATTGCTTGAGCTACGTGCACGTGCGACGCTTCACACCCGCCCCAGGTCTCATCTTCCATTCCCTTGTAGCAGGTGCAGCATAACGTTCTTGTTATTCCAAATTTTTTTAACACTTCTTGAATATCTTGTATTTTAATCTTTTGAAGTCCAACATCGAGCATGACTTGACATTAATTACAATTCTCTGACCAGAGTATTGGGAATAAAAAAAAAATTGTACTGCAAAAGATTAAAAACATCTTTAAATATTTTGTACTTTAACTTGCACAGTATTATCTAAGATTTTATCTTATACAACTTATGTGTGTTATGTTATTTGTGACACGACCGTCGCTGTAATCTAGTTTAACATGACAAGATATCGCATGATAAAAGCCAAATTTTCAATTTTGTAGGCGCAATGGTTCTCTCTGGCAACATTGATTCACTGATCGATTTCTTCTCGTTTACCGCATGGATATTTTATGGCGGCGCGATGCTCGCTCTGCTAGTGATGCGAAGAACCAGACCCAATCATCCCCGACCGTACAAATGCCCGTTGATAATACCCGCGCTTGTGCTCCTCATCTCCGTGTATCTCATTGTGGCGCCAATTGTCGACAAACCACAGATCGAGTACCTGTATGCAGCCGGCTTTATCGGCGCGGGCATGCTCGTCTACCTCCCGTTCGTAAAATTTGGATACGTGCCCAAATTCATGGGTAAGTATACATGCTAAAATAAAGTCGAACTCTTCTCTCACGAAGTTACTGCCGGACGCGATCAGACATTTCATTATATGGAACATCTTTTGAATTATAGTTATCTTCATTTAAATTATTGTAAATTTTTCTTATAATAAATTATTGTGAATTTTTCTTATAATATAACTGTATACATATATGTATATATATTAATATAGTACATGTTTGTATCTGTTTATTCTTTAATTGCAGAAGGTGTCAACGCTTTCCTCCAGATGTTGTTAGAGGTAGCTCCGACAGCAGTTGCCTTCGACTGATTTGTTTTTCAAAAGATTTAAAACGCAGTTCTTCAGAATGCCGAATCATTCCATTGTGGCATTGCACGAACTGTGTCTACACACATCTGAATCAACCCTATTTTAAATACCTACAGACGAGAGCGTTATATCCTATATTATAAAGCTCAAGCTGGCCCAAAAAATGAATCCATATAAAAATATAATTATATAAAAAATATATTATTTTATTACTTGTTATTCTTCATACATAGTATACATGCAGAATAAATGTTATTGTTAGACAATAGCTAGCTGATGTTGTAATGAAACAGCATTGAATTAATAGAAGATATTTTAAATGTTTACAGTTATAGATGTATTTGTGTGTTTCCATTTTTTCATAAAAACTTTCTTTTTTCCTTTTCCTTTATCATTCTAACCGACTATTTAAATGAATCCAGTATGTATTCTAATTCAAAGTTTTATTTTTTTTAAGAGCAAATTCTTATAATTTGTCTTTATTTCAAATTTAAAAAACAAAAGGAACAGTTCCAATATACGTCAGTTTTTTTTTATATTTCTTTTGATATCTTTCCATAACTTCCTAAAATACCGCTGTCTTTTCTACGCATCTTCTTAGTTCTTGGTTTAAGCAAGCTACGAGTGAATCCAGACGTATGTTTCTCTTCTTTCATTCTTGTTTTCTCCTTTTCTTGACGCTGCTTTAATATCTTATAATTCTTTTTCCTGTTCTTAGGAGGTATAGCACCCAAGCTAATGGCAAGTTCCATTTTTGCTTTTTTTGCCTTTGATTTCTCAAAACCAGATATACCAAATTTAATAATGTCATATCGTGCTTTTTTCATTTCTATTTCTTGTTGTTTCTTCAGATCCTCAGGCTTCATTTTGGAATCCTTCTTTGACGTTTTGTCCTCAGTATTTGTATCGTCTATGGATTTTGACTTTTTCTTCTGAACTTTATAATTCACAGCAACATAATTATCAACCGCATTTTTGTTGATTTGCGACCCACGAGTAGACACAAAGTCTTCCATTTTTTCAACTGAAAGTATTTGTTAAAACAAAAGAAACACATATGATAAGCATATTACAAGCACATATGACTTAACTAGTTTACCAGCAACTACTTTGGTAAGAGAATCAACTATTAATTTAAAAATATTCAATTACTCCTTTCGGCTTCTTTATTCAATTTAAACTTGCAATTTAAAAAAAAAACACTTCTTAAACTTACAAAGCTTGTGAAATATGTTTTAAATATTAAAAACAATATAATACCTGTTATTATGTAATATGTATTAACCTGTAATTACATATATTTTAATTATCACGTTTACTTTTTAAATATCCGTCAAATTTTATTTGATTCATTTATATTTCTACGTTTATACACTTAAAGCCCATGATCTTCAAGCTGTTTATCCCACGTGTTTCAAAATTTACTGTCAATATTGAAAATTATTCCGAATATATACCAGAAGAAGAACACTTTCTCTAGCGACAAATAACAACAAACGCCATACTAAATTAACTTAGCAATCGCTGGTGTACAGCTGAATTAACAAAGCTACCTTTTTACAGGCCTGTTTCTACGACAAAGTCGTACGTCGCCGTTGGACGTCGGACACAAGTGTGTTGGAGTCAGAGAGAGGAATGAGAGCGGCCAGGTCCGTAAAATTTGGGTGCGTTCAGACAACTCAACAGTTGCACAACGGTTGAGAGATAATCACTTCTGATTGGATCATACTTTTGGAATCCCATCGGATTTTGAAGAACAGTCCTATCACAAGTGATGATCTCTCAACCCTTTGAGTTCATGAAAAGCGATCATAAAAACTCTCAAGGTTGGTTCATAATTGCTCTAACCGTTAACTTTAGGCCGCTGCCGTAAAAGTTGGAAGATAGGGGAAATACGTAAGTACTACCGTTTACAAATTGATGATTGTAAACAGACTAGGCTTTCTTGAACTCTAACAAGTTCTCGCGGCAAATCCAAATATACTCGCGAGCTCGAGCAAAACGGTAAATTTTCGGATTATGGCGTTTCCGCAATCGCATCAGCAAGAATTGGTTGAACTTGCCGAAATAACGGGTATTACCGCGGTACCAGGTGTTTTTCGGTAAGAGACGTGGTAATGTTTCGAGAGTAGTTTTTTTTTTTTGTCTTTTAACATAACCTCTTGTCAGAGTTATGACGCAAATCTAATCTTTCAGAATTGTGTTAGAATTGCTGGCGTTGCAAGTATCTCCGGAAGATGTTTATTCTCTCCTCAAACAAATTTCAACGAGAGCATCGAAATTATCGAATCAACAAGTAGGAGAAAAACCACATTCCTGATTCATTCTCAAAAATTCAAGCGTTTTATGTCGCACACGTACACGAAGTTAGCAATTAACGTGGTAATATATTTTTAATCACAATGTACCGCAAAAAAACTACACGAACATAAATACAAACTAGTGCGAATAATTTATAATATTAATTTCTAAGAAAAATTGGTTATTTTTACACTGAGGTATTAGTTCTGCTGACGTTTATAATTCAGGCAGCCTTCCCTCGCTAGCTTATCTGCCATTTCATTTCCATGAATTCCCTTATGTCCACTTACATGATTCTAGAAAATTAATTTTATTTATAAAAAAAAAAAACATCCAACCAGAAAAAACATGTGTAAATAATAAATTTATTCTATTGATCTTGATTGTTGTTATCGCTCTTATCGCGACGCCGATTGGACGCGTTTCTTGGATGCGTTTCTCGATTTTTGTTGTATATGTAGACTAGCTGTCATCGCGGTGACAGATCACGTTAAAATAAAAATAATAGTATGCGCGTAGCGCGCACTTGTGGTATGTTAGTTAATTAAAAATTACAACATTGTAATTGCATATACACTATATACTATCAAATATTTTCTCTCTTCTTATTAATCTTTAATGAACTCACCCAAACTATAATTAATGATTCCAATTCTTTTTCCATTTCCAATAATTCTGATTTATTTACAACTGGCTTATTGTCTGTTGTTTTCCATCCAGTCTGCTTCCACTTTGGCATCCACTGAGTTATGCAAGAAATGAGGAATTTCGAATCAGTATTGATCTTCAACTTCTTGATTCCTGCTTTCTTTGCCTGTTTTGCGGCTACCGTAACTGCTTGAATCTCTGCCATATTGTTGGTGGCTCGTCCTTCTACTGGTTGAGATATATTTCTAGAAAAATTTGGTTAGCATAATATTATAAAGTATAAAGAATATTTTTGGTAGAAGATTTAGGCTTTAGCAAAATATTATACAGTGGATGATTATCTTGGAACCAAACGCCAATACCGGCACGAGCATTTTTATATCCATTAGAACTGCAAGCACCATCGGTGAAGACATTCACGTAACCCTCTTCATCCACGATAAAGTCTATTTTGCCATCCTATGTAAATTGAAGATTGTAAAATAAATGTTGACCAAAAAGCACAACATATATTATCACAAATTTTTGCAGAATGGCATTATTTATACATTTCAAACCTGATTAGAAGACGAACTCAGATCCAATGCATTATCTGATGCAATCTTTCTTTTTTTGTATATTTGTTCATTAGTATCGTCATCACTTGATAAAGTATTCTTTGAATATAATGATAATGAATTTATTTGTGCTAATCTGATTGCTGATTGTTTTCTTTTAAGAAATAATTGTCCTGACAGAGGAGTTTGTGATCTAAGTGTATGAACAAATATATCATCACAAAATATCTATATTACTATCTTCCAATATATCATCATGTTTTTAATAAGTATTTCTATACACATACTGACACTTACTTTACAGTTTTTACAATATTTGACGAAACAAAACCTTCAATAGATGTTGATTTTCCAATTGAATGTTTTTTAATAAAATTGTGAGCTTCATTTTCTGTTGCAAATTTTTTGTATACTGCGCCAGAAAATTTACTAACTTGAGACTTACATTCATCCCTTTTAAAACCAAAAACATTTTATATTTTTGTTTTATTAATTTACCAACACAATTTTAAGTGATTTTAGAGAATCTTTTTTTCTCTAATTTTCTTACCAAGTTGAATAAATTCCAGGCACACGACCTCTGGCAACAGCATAGTACGGCATTATAAAAAAATATTGTCTCGCAACGAATTTAAAATTTAATATCATCAATTACACACAACATATGTTTATCTTGATAACTAATATGTAACAATTTTCTCTATAACATAATTTTTTTGTTAAAAAACAATAAAGTCCTCTGTTAAAAATTGACAATATTTCTATATATAAAATATCTGTATTTTTATATCTTTACATATGTTATTTACACACATGAGATTTCTTCTTTTTCTACCTTCCAGGACTCTATACCACAGTATATCTACAGTATCGTAAATCAACCGATTTTGTTGAAGCCAGGTAGTCGATTGTGTGTTATGCCACAGTATAGGTAAGAACAGTAGGTTCACTCTCCGCCATATTGTTGGTTGTGCGATTTGGTCATGCACGAGAGACAACTTTTAGTATAAGTTTTCGGAGAGTGAATATGAGAGTGGGTGCGTTCAGACAACTCAACAGTTGCACAACGGTTGAGAGATAATCACTTCTGATTGGATCATACTTTTGGAACCAAATCAGATTTTGAAGAATAGTCCTATCATAAGTGATGATTTCTCAACCGTTGAGTTGTCTGAACGCACCCAGTGAATACCTATACTGTGGTATAGGTAAGAACAGTAGGTTCACTCTCCGAAAACTTATACTAAAAGTTGTCTCTCGCGCATGACCAAATCGCACAACCAACAATATGGCGGAGAGTGAACCTACTGTTCTTACCTATACTGTGGTTATGCAATGTAGTGAAAATGACAAAATTGAGCAAATTTACTAAAATATCTATGATCTTACTGGTCAACAACTAGTAAATTTGTTTTTGTCATTTTTACTACATTGCGTATATAGTTAAAGTCTCACTGCAAATGTTTCGAAGCATCGTTCTATCTTTGTTCTATCTCTAACGAGAAACAAAGATAGAATGATGCTTCGAAACATTTGCAGTGAGACTTTGAACGCACCTATTGATTTACAAAATTACACCTTAGAATGGCGTATGGACTAACTTGAAACGGTTCGCTGAACTACTTTCGCACCAAACTATCCTATATATCAGAGTACTTACCATTAAGTAAACAATACAAAAACAAAGTTAAACAAAGTTGAACAAGTCATTAATATTGTTGTAACGTGATGACTCAATATCCATCTATTAATGTCCGCTTGGCGGTAAATAGGACAGATTTTAATTTAATGGCAAATGACGGCATTCAGGCAAGGTTATACACTCCTGGTGAGGAGATATCAAGTTATCCGGATTTTCTGAGGTAGATAAATATTCAGTTGTACGCAATTCAAAGTTGCGAGAATGGTCAATACTACGTATTTATAAAAAATTGGCTTTTAAACTTGGCAGAGGTCATGGAACCTATGTCGATGAAGAAAAAACACTGCGTGCATCAGTTGCTGGTGTTTTGGAGAAGGTGAACAAGCTTATTTCTATCAGGCCGCTGAAAGCGCGCTATCACGGTGAAATTGGAGATCTTGTTGTGGGAAGAATAACTGAAGTACAACAAAAGCGTTGGAAGGTTGATTTAAATGCAAAACTTGACGGTGTCTTGCTCTTATCCAGTGTTAATTTACCGGGAGGTGAATTGGTAAGATTAATTGATTTTTATTGGATATACACAAATATATACTAAGGATGATTTTGTTGTAATCTTAACAATGAAGTCTTATAAAGATAAATTTAAGTTTTTGAAATCTAGAATCTGTATCTACTCAGAACTTTTATTACCAAATACATATGATTATAGAGAAGAAGATCGGCTGAAGATGAACAGACAATGCGTAGATATCTTCAAGAAGGAGATCTAGTTTGCGCAGAAGTGCAATCTATCTTTGCAGATGGTTCCCTGTCGTTGCATACACGAGTGCTAAAATATGGAAAACTATCGCAAGGAATAATGTTAAAAGTGCCGCCAAATCTGATTCAGCGCAAAAAGACACACTATCATAACTTAGAAAATGGTGCTACTTTGATACTAGGTTACAATGGCTACGTGTGGATCGGTGCGAACAATCATAACGTTGACAAATCCGAAGGCGGTTTCACAGAGGACCTCTCAAGGATACCACTGGAAAATCGTGAGGTGTGTGCACGGTTGCGCAATTGCATTCTGATCTTAGCGCAGTGTAACATATTGTTGTCTGATACTTCCGTTTCGTACGCTTACGAAGAATCTGTCAAATATGCGATACATGAACTTCTTCAACCAGAACCAATGGTTGACATATCGCTGTTGATACACCAAAGACTCACGCGATCCATGTAATCTGTGTTATCAGTAATCTTATGCGATCAAATTAACGAGATTTAATTTATATACATTTAATATTGTAAAAGGTCAATAAAATCTTTTATATAATATACAATTATATTTTTTTTACATACATGTGAAGCCTCTGTACGATGAAATGATATAAAGAAAAACAATTTAAGGATAGTGTATATATAGAATTATTTAATTGCTTCTGCAAGAAAAAAATTAGGTCAGATTGCAATATATTGCGGTGATAATGACTGAGTTATAAGATACTGCAGTATCTTATATATAATTTTATTGTTGGATATATGTGTGTTTAACGAAGGTGTAAGATAATCACGAACGCTAATCCAAATATTGATTAAACAAGTAGAACTTGGAAACAGAAGTAGTCGGGGCAAATAAAGCTGAGAGACATGGACGCGTGTTTCAATGCTTTCGATAAGGACGGCGACGGATTTCTATCAATTTCCGAATTTGATCTTATATGTCGCGCGTTGTTTCGAAACGACCGCGGAAAGATCTATGGGTTTGAGGAAGATCAACTACGCGAAGTATACTCGATCTTTGATATAAAAAATGATGGAATAATCGATAGGGAAGAGTTCGAGGTATGTATATAGGCAATGAGTAGTTATAATTTTTATCAATCGAATTATTTTAACGTTTTACAAATAATAAAAACATCATTTTATCTTTTCTCTTTTTTCATATTTAAATAACAGATTTTTTATTTATTATATATAAGAAATGTCCTTTTACATTTTAAAATAAATTGTTTAAACGCAATTGTTTGAAATTTACATTTCCCGTATGTAATTTATACCTGTTTCTTGTTGCTTATAGATCTGTTGGAATCAATGGATCAAAGTATGCACGCGTCCCAAAAGTGCCTTTTTAATTGTAGACGTGCAGAATGATTTTATAACAGGTTCTCTCAACATAAAACACTGCGCCGCGCAACATGACGGTTCAGAAGTGATCGAGCCGATCAATCGATTGCTGGAAACTGTGTCGTTCGAAGCTGTGTTTTATTCTCTGGATTGGCATCCCGTAGATCATGTATCCTTCATTGATAACTTACATCTTAGGTACTTATTGGCATTATATTAATTTAGTTGTAAAGAGAAAAACCTGAAATTGAAACGCAAAATCAATTGTATTATATTCAACTTTTGATTGTCACATTAGAGAAGTTGACAGCAGTAGTGGCATATCAAAAGAAGCCGCGCGGGTATACGACACCGTCACGTTCCGGGGACCGCCGTTGTTGAAGCAACGACTCTGGCCTCGTCATTGCGTGCAGGATTCATGGGGTGCCGAGCTGCACAAAGATCTCAAGATCGTCGACAATGCGATCAAGATCTACAAGGGTACAAATCCGGAAGTGGATTCATATTCAGTGTTTTGGGACAACAAGAAACTGACGGAGACAACGTTGTCGTCACAATTGCAGAAGAAAGGAGCAACCGATATTTACATCTGCGGATTGGCTTACGATGTTTGCGTCGGTGCCACCGCAGTGGACGCTCTTACCAGTGGATATCGTACTATTCTGATTGACGATTGCAGCCGTGGCGTGGATCTCGTTGATATCGAAAAGACAAAGGCCGCTGTGATAGCAAGTAACGGTGTGATAATAAACTCCAGTCAAGTGAAAGCGATGGTGGAAGGAAGAGATCGACGACCGGAACTAGGCTACAAGCTCGCATTAGAGATCAAGCATAAATTAAATCTCGATGAGGAATAATCAGTAATATTATATAAATTTAGATGCTTTATGTACAATAAATTATAATATGTCAAAATATTTTCAGTAGCTTTAAACTTGTTGAAAAATTAAGAAAAATAAAAATATATATATAATTGTCAGATAAATATATATTATATAAATATATAATAGAAGTTAATGTTGAACCAGATATATTTTTTGATGTTTTAAAAAAAAATTAAAGAAAGAATATAGGAAAATAGAGATAAAAATAGATATTATAAGTGTTAGTTAAGAGAGATATAAAATAGGAATATATACATATGTACGATATATATATATTGTGTATATGTGTATAAATATACATATATGTACATACATATATCGTCGATCCGTGTCTATGTTTACGGTACTGAAAAGCGGCGGGGTAGTATCCCCACTTTGACCGCTTTTTCTCCCCTGTGCGCGAGTCGCGAGTAGTATTCTATTCTCTCGTTGAACCGAGTATATGTTTTGGGAGTTTAGGTTGGGTTAGGTTAGTCGGTTCCGACTGTATACATTTTGAGAAGTTGTACTGTATATTTTTTAAACCGTAAATTCCATTCAATAATTTTTTAAATTGAAATCTGTAGTTTTTTGATATTTTTTTGTAAATGTACACACATATATGTACATACATATGTATATGTATAAAAAAGTTAAAAATCTCTAATTAAATTTTAATTAAAGACAGTATATCAACAGTTCGCGACACAATATGAGATACCATCAAAATGCTGTCATGTGGTGAGCAATGTGAAAAGTATAAAAAAGTTTGCAAGAAATATCTAATTGATGGTTAAACATGAATTGTACCGACCAGATTTTTCTACCTTTATTTATTCTTACATTTATTATATATGCACAATGTGAAATTATTACATTGGGCTTAGTTGGTTCGGCATTAGGTGGTTTAGGTTATTACGGATACGAATATATGAAGTGCAAATATCAAGAATGCTGTACAAATGAATATATTCACCTTGATTTTGATAGTAAGCTCATAATTGTAATTATTGAGAATTGTTACTTTGTTAAAATAATGTTACTTTTTATTGCCTTAAGTTATATGAAATTTTTTAATTTATTTCTTATATATTAAAAAAAATATTTTTACTGTTCTGTGTATTGAAGCAAACAGCTTTTTAAAATAAAGTTAAACATTACAGAATTAGAATTTATGTTAGCTGCCAACCTGCATGGACAGCAAATTGCTCACAAAACAATTGTACTTGCACTTCGTGGATTCTTTGGAAACAATCATTCATCCAAAGCTCTGGTTATGAGTTTTCATGGTACATCAGGAACTGGCAAGACTTATGTGACACAGATGATTGCCACAGCTCTCTACAAAAATGGTGTAAAAAGTCAATATTATCACTTTTTCAATGGTCGCAGTGATTTTGAATTACAAGAAAAAGTTGATGAATATAAAGTATATATTCAACATAATTTTTATATGAATTAAGATTTACTGTAAAAAGAAATTGAAAAAGTAGATCAATGTATAAATATAAAATTTGTTTTTAGAGGGAACTAAAAAACTTAATTTCTAAGAGTTTAAAACAATGTGAGAGATCAATGTTTGTGTTTGATGAAGTGGACAAAATGCCAGAAGGTTTGCTGGATGTGCTGGTTCCTTTTCTGGACTACAACAGCTATTACAAATCGTCCAAAAATAGTGAATCTATGTACTTAAACAAAGCTATTTTTATATTCCTCTCTAATACAGGCAGTGGCCACATAGTACAGCAACTTATAAGTATGTGGAAAATAGGCAAAAAACGAGAGGATGCTCGACTACAAGACTTTGAGAAGCTAGTAGCTGATGGTGCTTTTAAGGAGAAAGGTGGTTTTCGTCACAGTGATGCTATACAGACTAGTGTGATTGATCATTATGTGCCTTTTTTACCTCTTGAGGAAAGACATGTTAGACTATGTGTAGAAAAGGCTTTCTCAGAAAGAGGAGTGTTACCAAACGAGGAAATGATTGAAGAGGCGTTGTCGCACTTGACTTTTGGTCCAGAACCGTTCAACCTGTACTCGAAGGGAGGTTGCAAGAGAATAGAACAGAAAGTTGCCTCTATTGTGTTTCGCAAACAATCGGAAGATCTAAAACACAAAGTAAGACATGAACCACATGTATAATGAAAAATAATGATAATATAATAATAATAATACGATTATAAATTTTTTATATTGTGTAACATCTTGATCTTTATTGATCCTTCATTGATAAAATTTCTTATTGGCACACTCACAAAAAATATCTCTAAGAATTAAAAAAATAGTAAAAATTAACTTCATACATAAAATCTACATACGAGAGAAAGATAAATTATATATATTTATGTGTATGTATGTACGTATGTATTTGTGTCTACACATATAGATTATTCGATAACTGGAAAGCAAGAAGTAATTAATTTTTTCTTGTAAATAAAATTTTCATAATTAGTTACTCAGGAGCAAATGACATACTATGTCGAGAAAATTGTACAATTAAAAACTTGAATAGCAGAAATAATAAGAATCTTAAGCAGTTTTTTCATAACTTTTTAAATAGCTACTATTTCAAGTAATAAAAATACATATGTACATACATATATACATACATCATACATACATTTTCTCTCTTCACGCACACACACCAATTTAATATTTTTCCAAACATGAACTTTATAGAAGTTGGAAGAGAAAAATGCAAAATGTTGATGTTGAATCTTTAAGTCATAATTAACAACATATATATATGTATATATTTCATATCACATGCATACACGCACGCACGCACGCACATGAACAATAATGATTTTAATTTATAAAGAGAAATTATCTTGCTTTCCAGTTATCGAATATTCTATATATAAATTTGCGTACGTCATTTTAAATATATTTTTGTTTGCCACATTCGAGTGTGTATAAACTCTAAGTATCTAGAGATTAATCTAGATTTAATTATACAGAAAAAAGATAATATGTACAATTAATGTCTGGCAATTGACTTTGAGAAATCTAATCATAAAGAAGAAAGTTGTTGACAAATAGTCGTTATACATGCAATACGCTCATAAGAGACATGTATTGTTAACATGTCTTTTTCAAATAATGAAAATTTTAAGTTTGAGTCTTTGGTAATATTTTTCCCTTTCACGATTCTCTTCATCATATAAAACTCTATAAACTTCATTACACTATAAATGTGACTCAAAATTTAAACAAAGAAAATAAAGCTAATCCCCATTTTGTGCCTCTCACAGATATTCTTGTATAAACTATGCGTTACATTCAGACGGACAACTTTAGTCTTTATGACGGTCTTTAATATTAATATTATGTTAATATTAATCAAGAATGCCGCATCACAATAAACAACAATTGTCATTTTCATAATTCTATACACATAGCTAAAAATATAATTTGTCTAAGAGTAAACTCTGGGCATACACCGATATTATATATCTCGCGAGACTTAAAGAATAATAACATCGATGTTACATATATGGATGTGCAAGATTGCGCATTTATCTATAATTGTTTTTATACAACGCAGAAGAATGCTTCGCTAATTTTTACTTTTTATTTATTTTCTTTTCTACTGAGGTATGCTTCAATAGAATTACCATGATTGCACCATAAAATGATTACCACGGCGTTTATCGCGTTTTTTTTTTATTAGACCGCAAAACAAATATATTAAGTCGTTGCATATAAAATATCGATTTTATAGTAATAAAAAAAAACTACAAGTTACTTATGTGCATAATGTGTATGTGTGCGTGTTAAAATATATATAGTTACATTTCTCAGTATAAAAAGCTACGCATAATTTCACTTAAAACAATTAATGACAAGTTTCGCAGGCAGAGGCAAGGAATGTGAAAACTATATCAGATATATTATTATACAGGATATCCGACAATTATTTTAACATCTCTCGTGGGCAGGTAGAAGAAGTCAAACTGAGTCGAAAAGTCCTATACCATTTTGCGAGATTCGCAATATAATTACAGAGATCTTAATTAACAAAGATCCGCGAATAAACATGCATCGGACTGTCTTACGCGCGTAAGACAGTCCGATACATGGTTATTCGCGGATCTTTTTTAATAGATACTATCAATTTTGTAAAATATTTGAGATTAATTACTTCAATTATTTTTCCACAAATTCTTGTCTAAAAGACAATTCAAGAATCAATAAAAAAAATTTAATCATTACACATTGAAGATTTATATTCGTGTATAAAAAGCCTTTAGTATTCATATCTTGCTATACATTATGCACAACTTTTATTCTAACGGTTTTTAAGCTATTTTCTATATAATACGTCCTGTTGTTGTTGAATACGAAATTTACATTAGACTCTGTTTTTCTATGTATAATTTGTATCTTTAGGACATCATCGTTATGCAAAATCATCTTCATCATTTTTTATTAGACTAAAATATCTCGTTTCGGGATTTCTCTCGATAGATTATATATAGTTAAATATGTGAATCTTTAGAATCTCATAGAAAAAGACAAACTCGATTTTTCTTCTGATTTCTTTTGGTCTGAACTAACAAATAGCTATCATTATTATCTATACTTGTAGCTATGTCTTAGGTTTTAGAATAATTTCGATTTTTATAAAAATAGCACATAGAAGGCATATAAACATATAACCGAAAAAATAGAAAATATAGAAAATAAAACATAACAAATAAAAATGCAGCAAATTTGTGCTTGCTTTTCAATTTTTGCAATATTTTTACGACTAAAATTTGTGTAAAACTACTTTCTATATAATTTGAATGTTGAAAATGATATAAAAAATACTTCGATATAAATTATAAAAAAGTTATATCTATGTGATTATGTGTTCACTACTTTGCAATAATTTACATTCTTAACCTTTAGAGGACCGCCACTATAGTGACCAAAGATAGAAAAAAAACAAATATATAATATATATAATAGGTGTATATACATATACATATATAAAATGTAAAAAACAAGTAAATATATAAAAAAAAAACAAATATATAATATATAATAGGTGTATATACATATACATATATAAAATGTATTTGTGCTTGAGAAGCATGTATTTATGTGTGACCGCTGTCACATATTATTTTCCCGCAATAAAAAAAATTAAAAAATGCAAAAATAAACTATAAAAGAAAAAAATTAAAAACTAAAAACATAAAAAAAATTATAAATAAAAAAAGAAGCTACATAACTTTCTACGTCCACACTTTATAGCTCTGGGTAACACTGAAAGAAACAAACTCGGAAACTTTGCGCTACATGTAGGTTCTATATATACGCATACATTTTTCGTTAAAAAAAGTCAACATTTTGAAAAAAAACTGCCGGTCCTCTAAAAGTTAAACTCGCGAAAGCTTAAGTTAATAAAAAAAAGTAAAATGCAGTTTCAAAAAAAAAAAAAAAAAAATCACATTGTAACAGAGAAATAATATCAAATCTTCCGCTAAACTGGAATTTTCGAAATCCGATACGTCATATGCAACGACATAATAATAATTTGATCAATAGTCTTATTCCTCTTCCACATATTCTTTTGGAAAAAATCCTATTTGATCACCTATTTTACCCTTCCACCATCCTTTGGCATCGCCTTCTTTGCTTAGCACGACAACTCGGCAACCGCGTCGTAGGCTCAGTTGATTGCGTTCGCAGCCGCGAAAGTCGAACAACGCCTTGGCTACGACACGTCGATACGGCCACAGCAGACGTTGGTCTAGCTTCTCAAAATTTTCCGACAGTGACGCTCGTTCGTAATATTCGACTAGCTCGACTACACTTTTAAAGAAACGAGATTCGCTGAGATAATACAGATCCGCGCCGTCTACGTCGCGTTTGAATATTCGTATATGCTTAACCGCACCTTCCGCTCTGAAAAATATCACATGGACATTTAAAATGGAAGCACATATAAAAATTGCGAAAGATTAATTTAATCGGCAAATATGCCGATAATGGGAGCAGCTTCTGACAACCTTGATTTTGACATGTTATCAAGGTCATGGCACTGAGTGACCTTCAAAAGGTTTTAAGTAATGCTCACTGTTTGTTAAAAAGTTGTTAACAAAAAATGATAAATTTTGCTCCCCTAATCGGTATAAATACCATTCAAAAAATCAATTAAATGGACAAAAACAAATAAAACAAAAAATAAAGATACAAAATAAAAAATTAAATTTCTTTTTGATGCGCTCAAACTTACTTAATGCTAAGAGCGTAATTGGTTTCATGCTTGAGACGCGGTTGTCCGGCTGGGCGTACGCGCAGCATGTACGTGCCATCCTCGCGGGATTCTAATTTATTAGAAGCTGCGTCTCTGCCCATTTCTCCGACAAACCACAATTTCATGGCGAGTGCTCGTTCACAAGGTAGCGGCGGAGGTGGTGTCGGTGACGGTGAAGTAGGCATACAGCGACCCGAGTGTGCGATGCATTGCTTGTGCACGGCTAAGCGACATGTCTCGCATTTGTAACCCTGTACAATACATTATAAGTAAACTGTTACTGTAACATTACAAAACAAAAAGAGGACTGTTGTTTTTTTTTCGAGATTATTCACCTGAAATATGCGCCCTTTAAGGAATTTTCCGCACCGTTGACAGCTCCTCGGAGTATCAAACGTCGTTAGCTTAAACTTATGATTGGTATTGCGACAAGCAGCTGGATTTACGTTGTCAATTGCGTCCTGCAACGCTTTTATCCACATCTGCTTTTGCTCCTCTGTTCTTGCGTACAACGTATACGCCGTATATGCCTGCTTATGTACAAGTAGCCACTGATAGGACCAGCGTGAATCTCTGCCCAGTGTTCGCCGTCCTATATGGTCTTCTAGTCTATAATCATCTAATCGCAAAGTTTCTCGATAGCAATATTGATCTCCTCTGCCCGCTTTGCAAATCAACACCACTTGCTCGAATATAAATGCATAACGCGCCTTTATTCGTTGATCACCGTGAGCTTTCACCTGTAATATATAAATAACAAATGTTCGATCGTGTCAAGTCACTTAACTTTATTCCTCTTATTTAAGAAAAAAATGTTGAGAACAAACCTTGAGCTCACCGTCGCGAAGTAACCGGCCGAAATCTTTTAATTGCGCGTCTTCAGGTACGTCCCAATCAATGATCGATGCCTGAATGTCCTTTATGATGTCCAGCGTATCGGAATCGCGCTTTACTTCGTTTATGTACTGCGCTACGTCGACCATAACTTCCCTAGCTTTCGCCAGAGCACGACAGTCCTCGATCCACTCGCGAGGGGTTTCTTCCACCAATTTGTCCAATAGTAAATGGTACTTGAGCACTCTTTGCATTGGCACGGACAATATATCGCGCAATTTAAATTTACCATTATTAGCTTCTTGTTGGCACCTCTGTAACATTATATTTGCTAAGACAAATATCTTCGACATATATAATATTGTGCGATTGATAAGTTACATTGAAAAACTTACAATAACTTCTTGATTGACTACTTCATTACGTGCGCAGGCTTCCTGCAGAGTACTTTGCGCAACAGTAAGATTTGCGCAATAATCGCCGTAAATGAGAAACTTCTCCCGCCAGTCAAGAAAGACCTGAGCAAGCGCGGCGCCGTTTCGCGCTTTGCGTAATTGACTATGAAATCCTACGTGAATCTCCGAGAGCTCTTTGATACCGAAGAAGATTCGGGCGGAGTCTTCAGGCCGGAGTAATGATGACAACGGCCGGGCAAAATGCCTAAGCAGACTATGAAGCACTTCTGTGTAATTTCGCTCGGTTTCCACTAGTTCCTGGATCACGTAATCTCTTTTCTCACCTCCGGAAATGACACCCTGTTGATATTCGTCGTGGTTTAAAAAAAAGTATGTTAGTGCAAATTATAGCTTGAGATGCTACCACGGTATAAAATATAACTCATGATGATATAGAAAAATTAAGTGTTCAAAGGCTTAGAACAAAAAACTTTTGTAAAAAAAAAAAAAGGGCAAAAAGATGACCTGCGTAGATGGGGGTGGCAAGTGCAGACTGCAAAGGTCCTGGTAGATTTCCTCGCTTTGTGCATGACTGCAAAAAGCACCGTAACCCTCCTCTTCGCCGATTGGGTCCTCGTTATCTCTTCCACCACTTGCCTCATTACCTTCACGTCTCTTAAATCTCCTGCGGCGACCCTCATCTTCGCGGCTTTAGCATAAAAAAGACAAAACAACATGGCCATGCACTAACATGCACACTGACTAAAAATTGCGAAATTTTCAACACAAATCATAAGTAATGAAGTAAGATCTATCGCTAGCGATGACATCGATCAGAAAATGTTTTGCCACGTATCACTTTCAGCACGAAGAATGAAACAATACTATCACTGTATTGTGTTTGCGCGTGTATACATGTGTATATATATATATATATATATACACATATATGCATTAAATTCACTGTATGTAATTCATTATTTTAGAAAAAGTTAGTTCACAAAGCATTTTTTCACTTTTTAAAGTATAAAATGTTGAACATGGTTTTTCAAATTTTTGTTAAAAATTTTGTTGTTGTTTGTAATTTCAATTTTGAACATTTTGTATTCTACGAAAAAAATCGAGATGATACAGTGATGGTTTTTTTTCAGCAAAATGTCCACAAAACAGTGAAACAACATGTACCTTCTCTTCGGAAGGCCAGACATTTTGAGGATTGCTCGAGAAGCAGAGCAATTCCTGATAAACCTCAGATTCATCTACGTCCTCAGCTTTAGTTTTTATGGTAAATGCCACCAATTCCGACGTGGCGCTAAATCAGTTAATAAAAATTTCTGAAGTTTCTTTGTTTTTCTTAAGTCTAAATAATGCAATTTATCTCTGTAGCCTTTTACCAAGCAATAAATTTTCATATAAAAGTTGTTTTAAAAAAAAGATTGAATCTTAATCTCTTTCTTAAAATCGGATATAACATTCTTCAATGTCAGGATTTGTTTCAATGTGTTATATTTAAATATAGATCACTTAAAGATACACATTAATATCTTAACAATGAAGTATATGCTTACCCTGCGCCCGCACTTTGTAGATCTTTATAAATATCTTCTTGAGACTTCCCGTGACCAACGGAAAATCCTCTGTAATAAATATATTACTTAGTTTATATTTCTATTTTATAACTATCAATATGATATATAACAGTTATTGTGTGATAACTTGTGTGAATATAAAAATATACAAGGTGAAAATTGCTTACGGTATACCCCTTCGCCTGAGTCGTGGACAGTTGGACAAGATAGAGAGTGTACAGAGAACACGATGAAAGTTGGACAGATCAAACAGCATAGAAGGCTCAAAGAGCTCAGAATCAGAGAGGCCAAAGATGCTCGAACATACGGACAGGAATACTTTAATGTTACGCAAGCACAGAAACTGTGCCATTTGAGGTTTCTGATTTACATCCTTCATATCTATACAACCCGGATCCACAATATTCAGCAGATTACACAGCAAAACACCATCTCGCAATGTATAGGCTAAGTCGAATGCAGTAGCCTGTGGCCAGTTGGCTCTGTGATCTGCTCGCAATGCGCCACATCTTGTCAACCAACTAGCACATTCATGCCAGCCCTTGCCAGCATCTACATTTTCAGCTTTATTCATTCTGATGTTTGTTTTTTTGTCAACCAATTATTGAAAAAATAAAAGATCTATTCATAATCTTGCAGGTACTTTATTAGGCACGTAATTTCAAGTTTAATACACTGCTACCTGTAAAATATATAATTACATTAGAGTTTATACATATGTGTGCGTGTGTGTATGTGTGTGTATAAAAGAAATCTCAAAAGCAGCAGTTATATCATATCAGAAAGAAGAAAAACAACACATCTCGATACTATTATAATAATTGTATCAAACATCCAACCTTTGCTATTATTGATACAATATGCATACACATGTCTTATATAATATTTTTCAATGAAAGAAAAATTATTCATTTATAATCTATTAAATTTATTTTTTCAATACAGTCTGTTTGTTGATTAAAATTTTTTGTTTCTTATCACTACATATGTTATGTTTTGCAATATATCTTTTGGGCAAAAAAACTTTGTGTGATAATTCTTTTTATTGCAATTAAAACTGTGAGCTTTCATTTGTTAAAACAACAAATTGCCATGATTAGGAATTCGAGATCACTTGGCGAGATTAAGATCAAGAGTGTGTGATGATTTTTTTTATAGTTTTCTCAATCGTCGTTGTGTCGCGACTCTGAACTGACCAACAATTTTAGTGTCTCTCGATCCTTCAAAGGGCCGAGACGTCGGAACACTGGGACAAAGTCATCGTGCTTATTCGTTGTATTGTAAGTCAGTGTAATCCGCACCGTCGTTTGAGAACACGCTTCTTCATCCACGTACTTCACTGTGCCACTACAATATATTGTATAACTCATGTGAGACAGACGCAAAAGAAGAGAAAAAACGATAAACACAAAAATATATTTGATCCACGGTAAATTTCATAGATACAAGCTCTTCCATGGAGCACACGCCACACGTCGTTTGCTCGTGCTGATCGCGATATTATCGTGGATGCATCGCATTTCCTCCTACTCCGCACGGCGACTTGCGACTGCCGTACCACCACACTAACAAAAACCCGCATGATACGTACGTACAGTGCGGAGCACCATATCGTGCGCCGTGAGGAGAAGTAGTTCTCCTCCAGCTGCCTCCTACTAGCACGCGCCAGCGACCCGAGATTTAATCCATATGTACCGGCACGGTTACCGATGACACATACCGACGCGGTTACCAATAATAC